TGGTGTTTTTCGGTGTTTTTTAAACGACCTTAATCGACACATGTAAAATTACAACATAGTCTCGGCAACACAGATAAACATAGCCACTTTGTACCTGGACCGTAGTTTTTCCCCGCCCGGATCACTTATGTAACTCGCCAAGGTTTGAAAACAAGGTGAAGATGAGCTATAGACGAAAACGAATGCAAATAACCAACACTAAACGTCCAGTTGTGTCTTATAACGGTCACACGGTATCATATATCGGCTCTCTATGTCAGGCACAGGGCACCAGGTAAAACTCTGGTCACTCATCAAATTGTTATTTACCTGGTATGTTACCTAGCTAGAAGCCAAATCATTCCTGCTGTCTAACAGTCATTGTGTACTGTGTTACACGCATTGTAAAATTGTACATAATCTCAATTATCGTGATGATAAATTACAGTAATATATACAGTGTACATTATCGCGAGCATTGCGAGCCTTCCACTTTTTTCATTCTGTAATATTGATCAACAAATTGTACCTAATCGAATAGTTGTGCGGAGAGAAGCGCACAGCGGGGCGAACGATTGTTAAATCGCTCAGTTGGTCGCAACATGTGTGGACGATGTGCGAACGGTGTGTGAACGATGTATGCACGGTGTGCGCACGGTATTTTTTGTGCGTTGTGCGGTTACATAGTTGTATGTATACGGTCCTGAGCTGGGACATCTTGACCAGGAAACGAAATTTTCTTTATACCCCTACTTATACATGAAATATATGCAGGTGGTATTTTATAGAGATAAGAGAGGAGTTAAGTAATATCTACAGTTAATTATCTCATAAATACCTTTTATAATGCATATGGTCCTGAGCTGGGGCATCTTGATAATGAAATGAAATTATTACTATATCCGTAGTAACTGATCAAATACTTACAGATGGCAATGTAAGGAGTTACGAGAAGAGAAAAAAAGATAAGAAATAAAAAACAAACGAGCTTTTACAGTCGTGTGTATACTAACAACATCTAAAGTGCATAAATACGTAATAATTGATGAAATGCCTACCGGTTGCAATATAAAGAGCCAAAAGAAGGAGTAAATATGATTTATAAATCAAACGCATGTTTACAGTCATTTATTTGATATATACATTTTACAATGTATACGGTCAATAGCGGGGACATCTTAATCAGGATATGAAATGATAATTGTATCCCTACCCAAACACCAAATAAGTACATAGTTTTATGACTGAGGAATATAACTTAAAGTAATATTTGAAGTGTTTTGTATAGTAACATAATTGTTTCGTACATATGGTCTCTAGCGGGGACATTCTGATCAAGAAATGAAAAGAGCATTATATCCGTAGTTATGCATCAAATAAATACAAATGACAATGTATAAAATTAAGGAAGAAGTAAGTAGGATTTACAAATATAAATATAAGTTATATAAACTGTCATTTAACTTATAAATACCTGTGTATAGTGTCCAGAGTGAGGACAACCTTAACAGGAAAGTAGATGGTGAATTTATCCTCAGTAATGCATCAGACAAGTTTATTTGTAAAGGTTAAGAAGAAAGGGATGGGTAAATATGATTTAAAATTTACTCGGTCGAAAAACCGCGAGCCGGTTAAGATTGCAAAGTTACAAAATTCCAAATTTGAGAGGTAGACCATGCTTTTAAGGGTGAGACGTAGATTATTCTCAGGAGCACACATTTAAATCATATACCAGTGAAACATTTACAGAGGTGCTGTCATCTTGTATTGTATCCCACTTTATTCTGACCGATGTTGTTCATAACTTATACTTTTGAGGTTACTTGTCCGCCATTTACTTACATTTATTGTTTTTGACAGATTCTTTATTTTTACCCTTGTTTTCCTGCGTTTACTTGTTGATGGCTTAATATACATTGAAGAACTAAGGTGCCAATTCATATGAAATACGTTCTGTATAAAATAATTGTAAACATAAACGGATTCCAAGGTTGTGTTACAAAACGGGCAAATTAGGTAGTAAATGACAAAGATTGGAACGATCTTATGACATAACAAATAGCGGGTATCAACAGAGAGCAGCACTTTGGTCACAAGTACATCTGAGGTCAAATTTGACGATTTGGGTAGCATCGTGCAGTGGCTGACATGGGGGACTGTTGACTTGTAGATAGTGATGAAGGGTTATCCATCTACTGGCGAACAGGTCAGTCAAGGATGACATAGAGATGAGATAGAGAGGATGAACTCCCCAAAACGAACAGGGGTAGTTGTCATTGCCATGTGGAACATCTATTAGCAATGTTTCTGCAGGAAAAATCAAAGTTCAGAAGTTATATAAGACGTTAGATTGCTACAGGTGCCTCATTGCAAGTATACAATAGGTAGTGTCTACTCATGAATATTTGAAGTTGTATGGATTGTTAAAAAAACTAGGGAGAAGATGTATTGGTATTTAGGTGCCTAAAGTCTGGGATCGTGAATGTGAAACTCGGGAGAGAGAGAGTTCAGTGAAGGCCTCTGCCGGAGGGGCAAGGTGTTGCCCGGGTACAGCACTTGGTGTCCATTAGAACTATGTTATTGATGTATAATTCGGGCGCTTGTTGATTGGGTGTTGTGTTTCAGAACGATGTTAAAAGGACGTTTTCCAAATTTGGAAGATTTTACAGAGAGGGAATGCCTAGGGTATGGCATCTGACTGTTGTGGGCCAAAACGCATATTAGTTATAAAAACCCATAGTACACATGTCTTGTTGTGTAACATATGCCTCAAGACATATAGTTGGTTATTATCGACTTGTCTTGGGGAAAATGCTTCTAAATCATTAAACTCTCGAATTACCACCCCATGATCAAGGATCCCAGAGGAGGTTTTGTCTTCCCTCGCAAAATAACTAATATCCATTCCCAAAGAAACGCAAATGCTTATAAGGCAACTTGGCTGATATCCGTATGTAGGATTGTTCTCACCATTGCGTTGATGCTATGACCCATACAGTTATTGGAAGGTCAGTCTTAATGTTTTAAATGTTACAATAATCACAACTTAATCGAATACTTCCAATCGAATGTGAAAAACATAGTTCTGAGAAGTTGTCAATATGGCCAGCTAGCACATTTTTACCCATAACTTTTGATAGTCGTTGCTGTTGGGTGGGGTATGTTTTGTTTTATTAGCTCTCCTTCATATCAATGATAGCACAGTAAACAGTAAAAATCACTCATACTTCCAACACGTTCAGGGTGTTTACCATAAATATATAGGTATTTAAACTTTACCGCTCGATCGAACTTCTCGAATTGTACTATATTTAATAATTCGGCCCTCCGATGTGCAGATTGTTTATAATGTATGTTCTTTGTTCAATTTTGTCAAATTTGCATCAATGAGCTAATGAAGTAGTGATGTAGCAGTTCTTATTACAGAAGTCCTTAGTGACAATTAAAGCTTAACAAATCTGCTCGTTATCAAATTTGTAAAAGGAAGGCAGTGCCTGAAGCATTGTTTGTTTCAAGTCTTCAGCTTTAGATCATTCGACATTACAACAGTTTATGCCGTTTTCACTTCTACTTTCTACTATAAAAACAACAGTAAGCATTCGAGACATTACGAGTCCTAACAATTTAAATTAGGATAGCAATATGGTCTTAAATGGATACCCACAAGTTCATTTAACATCTATTTTAGGAGGAATATTACTCATATATCTAATAAGATTATATATCATATACAAATTATGAAATATCTACTATATAGTATAAATGTTTGTTTGTATAATGTGTTATCCCTTCCCCTCTTATGAAGTAAAGCTCATATGATCCGGAGCTAAACTAACGGTTGAATAAATACTGTAAAATGTTTGCTGCCGGAGAAACATCATCGATATCAACCATAAATAGACACACTTACATAAACATGCATACGATATCTTATATGTTTTCATTAAACACATTATTGACACTTCGACACGTCCTTAATTGACCTTAGCTGTACAACCAACAACCTTGAATAAAATGTTTTACTGGGTTATCATAATAGTTTTATTCAGAATGTATCATGTCACCAGTAGCCAAGGAGAGGGTTCAAATATGTATAAAAGTATTTTTCCACATTTTAAGTAAGGCTGCAGGATTGAGCGGATTTATATAAATTATTCAACACAGTTTGTCTCCCTATCTACTCATACGAGAAAGTCATCTGCGTGCATCATCATGAACAAACTAGATTCTCAAACTTCATAATCCATTCAGAATACTAATGACTTTACTGATGTTATAATTACCCCTTGTGTCGGGTCTTTGTTATTAGAGAAAAACGCCGAGTGTGTTCCATTCACCAAACATGTATCATATGATGTTATTTGGGGTTTTATTCATACTTTTGAAATTGAAGACAATTACGTTGCTTTCTCCATTAACATAATCAATAAATCTTAAGATCATGTACACAACATAAATTTGGTGATCAAGATGTTCCTCCTCAGTACCATGTCCACAAATAAGGAGTATCCTATTGGCATTTCTTTGACTTCACTTATGATTATGTCCACGGTCAGGACGGTTGCTTTATGTATTCAAATCGTTAAAGAACAAATGAACATGGGAATAGCTTTGATTGTGTTTATTGATTAAGCTATCCCCGCTCGGGAAGTACACGCTTCTGGGTGTAATTGTGGGTAGACTAGCCCCCGTCTCTGGATTATTGAATTATTCAGAAATTATACTTCAATCATTTTGATCACTTGGATTCTGGCTTTAAGACTAGCACCAGTCTCTAGAACATTGAATTATTCAGAAATTAGAATCCAACAGTATTGGTCATTTCAAAATCATATTAACACATCTCTTACCTCGGTGCGTTGCCAATGGTAGGTAATTGATCCAATTAACACGGATAAAATGAGCAGGTTTTTTTCCCGCTCAGGACCGTATACACTAACAGCTATAGGTAAAGACTATACGGCATATAACCATTCTTATAGGGTTTTATAGCTCGATTAAAACGACCTAAGTGAGGGACAGCGCAGCTGTCTGACGCCACTTTTTATTGCGTATGTGTAGGTCCAGTGACACCGATATTTTCTTAGGCCAGACCTACATATGATTCAAACATTATTTATTCAGTCACCCTGCACCTCGTGGAAATATACCTTAGGTAAGTAACTATGTAATGATGCCATGTCACAGTTCATCTGAAACAATTTTTACTGCAATTATCAAAGAAATGTTGGTGTACTTATTTACGTTTCCAGGTCTATGGATACTACCTTAGGTGAGGGTACAAAATGGATCACTTTACAATATTTACATTTTTTATTAACTTTCTTTTATAACAAGCATTTTTAACTGTAATGAAACATTAGATTCCTTAGCCTTCATTTTATGTATGTATGGATGTTACCAGCGCGCGTGTCTATATCAAGACCTCGGACTCGGTTGGTTTGGTTCATATTTATATTTGCAAAATGGAACAATTAGTTGTATTGATCAATTTATAAAAAAACCAGCTGTGTACCTATGAAATATTGCTCAAAAACTTAATTAAAGAGTTTAAAAATAAAAAGCAAAACAAATCCTGGAAAACGATTCAGTGCAACAAACACATTTCTGAACATGAATATATATCTGTTTAAACGAATATCTAAATGAAAAAAAAACACTGTAATCGCCTAACAATTATGCTTTCTACAAGTCTTATACGTCCGTACAAATTTATTGATCTGATTCACACTAAAATAGATAGGGGCAGAGTTACTTCCTTTGATACTATACTTTTAAGCAATTAATTAAGGTTCAACAAGGCCCCTATACATGTAATTTGGATATATTGAACGTTGTGCATTGGCTATTAAAATAAAACATAGGTAGGTCAACATAGTCGATAGCAAGGCATTAAGGCAGATGTCTTCATACGAATAGCATGTCAATCTCTTTTGCAATCCAAATTAGTGCTAAGAATTGTCATATAATTACAAGTGTATGTATTTACCTAAGTCATGCAGAGCTTAAAAGGACAATTTAGCGAAGTAACATTTCTCTACGATCGTTTTCTCATGATAGTAGAGTTTGAGAACTATTCCTTATGCATAATTCATATCGAGAAATTGACAAGAGACAATGTTTTCTTGGCGTTTTTAATCAGTAACAAAGAAATCCTTAACTGTATAACCATTGGTTTTAGCGGAAGCTGTCGTTGAACTTCTCGCTAACAAAATGTCTTTCAAGCAAATGAGATATACACGGTAATCCAAAATATTCACAAAACTGAAAAATAAACAGTATTTTGCAAACTGTACATAACAATGAAACAAATAACCAGTTTAATGCCCCTAGTGTATACCTGTGTTATTTGGAAGGTCGGTCATATATGCCCTTCGGCAAGGATATCCACAGGTAAACGTTATAGGTAGTTAGCTTACCTGCTTTTCACAGATAAGATGAACCATATGGTGTGTTTGAAAACTGTAAACTAACTATCTGTTAGGTAAACATTACACTGAATGTAATTGATGCATATCTTAATGTTTTGCTTCTTTATCGAACAAAAATTAAAATAAAATACAAATATATTTTTTTTTTTTTTTTAGGATCTATGGGTATTATGGAACGTAGTCATGTATATCTCCTGCTCCTCTGCTGTTTATTCTTCAGAGAAAGTGAGTATCAAACAACTGTGTGGTGCAGGGTTTATCAGAGTACCGTTGCGGTCTCCTTTAATGATCCATTGCCAATTGAAAAAACAACGTGTGTGGTTTTAAACTTAGCTTGCCAGATGGGCCAAGTGAGCTAGAGATGTAGCATCCCTCGTGCATTTGTCCAAGTTTGTTCCAACAAGGGACTTTTTCTAACTCTCAATGTCACGAGAGTCGAATGTGTCAAAACAACTTGAATCAGCATCGTCTCAATAACGAAAATGCTTAGGGTGATATTTTACTAACGACATGCTGGAAGGAAGAGCTACAAAATGTGTTCAAATTCATACGTTTACTTACTTTCTAGGTCACTGGAATCTGATGTTTAAAAAAGTATATAAAAGGCATCATCCCTTCAAACACTAGTCACTGTACTTGTTTATACATATCGATCTTGTGGTTGATATAAAATCAGAAATTATTTATAGATATATATAATTTCACTACATGTATAATTACACCCATAGTATTGTGTATATTCGTCAGTTTTCTTCCCTGAACTTTGCTATACTATGAAAATTTAAACTATATCTAAACAAACAGCTTGACTAAATCGGTCATATGTACCAGTAAAAGTGTCTAGGTAACTGCATAAGTTGTAAATTACAGCTGCTTTAGCGGTATAACATCATACAGCATTAGGGGATCCATCAGGCCTTTGGCCCATTGAGGAATAGGTAGAAATTACCTGTATGGTTATTTCTATCACAGCAGAATTATAATTATTCAAAATTCAGTTCCAAATTGTACAAACGTAATTATTATGCCCGTGTGCGTCCCGTCCAATCGCGACTCAATACAAACACTCTATCAACTTCTTTTTTTGTCAGATGTTGATCACACTTTATATAAAGATCAAGCATGATAATACTTCTTCTATATCTGTGTTTTATGGCTCCAAGGTTAATGTTGCCACTATTGCTTTATATACAAAAAATCAATGGAATAATTTTCCTCAGTTTAGATACTTTATTTCTTAACAGATTTCCATCAAAGTTGAAGCATATTTGAAGTATGAGAATGCTTCGGATGAGCTCATGTCTCAGGATTCCAAGGTCAAGTTCAATGTCACTATTGCTTTTTACAGAAAAATCAACAAATTCCGTATTATCAGTCTACCAAATTTATTTCCTGATTGTGTTTCAGTGCTCGAAGGCCGTGGCGTTATATATAATACTTTTGGTATATATGGAAAGTCTTCAAATTATTCAACTTGGCATATTGAATACCCTTTAAAATAACTTCATTTTTTCCTATTCCGTTTTGGTTCTGTTCGTTTTAAACGGTCTCACGCATTATTCACATGTGTTTACTTCGCGTTAAATAACTTCAGGTATTTTGTTTTCTGTTACGTTGCGGTTCCGTTTACGTCCGTTACGGTCACAAAGACTGATGAAATGTATATGTAATACCCTTAAATACGTTTCTTTTCGGTTCAGGTATGGTTCTGTTTATTTTAAACGGTCACATATTCAAAACTGTTTTCTGTTTTCAAATGAATTCAGTCGCTCGGAATAAGCGCATGCCTTTCGTTTCGGTCCCGTCAAGACAATTGTTTTTTATATCTCGTAAACAATACAGTGTAGATAATACATATATACAAATATGGGTGACAATAATACATGGTGGAATAGGATGGACATTAGTATTGTAAATTAATCATGTCATTAATATCGGTAATACATTTAGCCATTTATGTCAATTCATGTTGTGTTACATAATTGAATAACATATGATATTTAAATGTGCCATAATTTCACATTCTCTCGACAAAACTAAAAAAAAAAAAAAAAAAGGGAAAAAAAGATTAACCGCTTTCCAAAAAATCGGTACACAGATAGAACACAATTATGTTGAAAATGTTGATATAATTATCCATTTATAAATCTTAAAACCATTTACACAAAATTTAACAGTGTGTCTATACCGTCACAAATATTTGTTTATGCTGAGATAAGTATGCATTGTTCATTTAAATGGATAACTTTATTAATATTTTAAGCGGTAAATAAATTGAAAATAATATCAAAATGAGCCAAGAAATCCAACGGAGAACAAATAAACAAAAGGGGGTAATTAACGTAACGTATCAAAACATGCGATGTCTCGTCACTGCATTATGATATAATTGCCTTTCTAATGTATGAAGATCTAGTCATGTGCTTGTATTTATATAACATAGATACATGCATTTCGTTTCGGTCCGTTTCGGTTCCGATTCGGTCCGTTTCGGTTCCGTTTCGGTCCGTTTCGGTCCGATTCGGTCCGTTTCGGTCCGTTTCGGTGATTCGTCGCACCGAACTATTTCGTTTCTAAACAAGTTTTGATTACAGTTTATACATAATTCAGGTATGAAAATACCTCAGATGAGTTCATGTTTCAACGGTCACTCCATGTTGCTATTCAAAGATTTGTTTCTCCATATTTCTATATTTGGCAAATATCATGTTATCAAACACAGACACTTATTTTACTTGGCAGTGGGAGCATTCGCGTCTTTTTTAGTAATGTTTGTTCATTGTTTTTGATGTGGATGCTGAAATATCCAGTTGTGTAATTCAAGCCCTTTGGGCATCTTGTATTAGTTTACTTCACAGGCAAATGTTTATCGATTGTAGGTATTTGTGGCACCACATTAATTAAAGACAAGTGTGGATTTTCTGGGGAGTCAGTATCATTTAGCTGTACAATACCATCTACAGAATTTACACAACCTATAGCATGGAGCAATGACATCATTGTTGGAGACATCTCAGCTTGTACACCAGGTGGTTGTGGTGCTCCTACTAATAGTCGTTATTCTGCATCAGCAGACCCAAATGGAATATATATGACTATTACAAGACTTACAAGGGCTGATGATGAAACAACATGGAAATGCACAATGCAAGGGCAGTCCCCTTCAACTCTAAGTCTTACTATTAGAGGTAAGTTTTTTGGAGCCATGTATTAAGGGGATTTGATAGATTTGTTGCTGTACATGTTTAAAAAAAACTTGTTAATTTTTGATAACAAAAAAAAATGCGAATTTCAAAAGGAAATCCTTCGAGATTTTCCAAGAATGGAAATGAAATATTAATATAATGTAGAAAGTGTTGGAAATATTCTAGGTTTAGGAAAGGTGTAATTAAAACATCATTTTTATATGTGATTACTCGAAAGGTTTTATTTACGAAGATACAGTATATTTATAAAACATTGCATTGATTGAATCTAAAATCAAACCTGTCTAGAGTGACCCGTTTGGTTACGAGTATCAAAGTGTATTATTAGCAGGTGAAATTCAGAAGTTAACATTACAGATTCCAGTCATTTATTTGCATCTTGATTCTTTCAACTTATCACCACAACTTTTTTTATTCTGCCAAATAGCAAGGTGTTTAGAAATGAAATAAAGGAATTGAAACAATTTAAGTCATCAATAGTAATTGATCAATTAAAAACAATTATACCGCAAGAGTCCGGGTCGTAAAAACCACAAACCTTTTTCATCACACGGAGTAAATCATTACCGGCATGACTTATCTACAAAAATGTGAATTAAATACCACTCTAGGATTGTAAATTTATCAGAATATGTTAATGTTGATTTGATTACTAGAAATATCATCTGATATATTAAAAGTGTTATTACTGAGTGGGTGAGATGCTTGTGTGTGCTTATTGCCATAGAGAGAGAAAGAGATGGGCTGCTTTTCATTTGATAGCACACCTAGTACGGATTACCTGCGAGCTTAGGGTATGGTATTTTCTCCATCGTCCATCGTCCGTCAACAATGATTTTCTTCTTAAGAACTCGAGGACCTAGGGTCAATATGTTTGGCCAGTAGGTAACTGGGGTGAAATACTATAAAGTTGTTTCAAACAAATGACATTGACCTACTTCTAACGTCGAATAAGTCCATGGAATTAAGCGGTTGACCGGCAGCTACCTCGTGCACTTTACATAGAGAATAATCTATGCTTTATTCAACATCACCCCCAGTATCAACCCGAGACTCTAATATCAGCTCGGCTATTACCTACGAATATCTACCGAAATTATCAGAATCATTATCAAATTTAATGTTCCTTAAATTGTCTGAGCTAATGGCTATATCTGAAGATGCAAAGGGTGCAATTTAATTTGTTAGTATAGATGATTAAATTGGATTTCACTGACTGTCTTGGATTCCGGAATGCTATATGATATATGCATGAGTATTACGGTCACAACATATCGGCAGGTGTATTTCGATCTGAATAAAACAATTATGTAAGCAAACGATAACTTGCGTAGCACGAAATTATCTTACGGTAGGTTAAGCAGCCCGCAGTATGTGTGATGCTGAGTTGCATGCATCAACTCACGCTGTATGCGTAAATAATCCGAAATATATCTAATATTTCACAAATTTGAGGACCTAGCTACATACGCGTTGTTTAATTGCATTACGTATACGTAATTCTCGGTCCATTAAAGGTGAAACCGAGATATCTGAATATGTTTAAATATTTCTTTGACATGCATAATACATAATATTGTGTGATTGTTTATAAAAAGTATTACGATCTAGTTACCGAATCAAAATTGCTTGTCACCAACATACACGGCACAGAATGATTTTGAGATAGGCTTTCAACCCAAGAAATAGAATATGCTTTGTCAAAATTTGGCTGGTTTAGTTAGTCCGTTTTCTATCAGAGTGTAAAAAGCGTTTGCAAAACTACAGGTACTGGCGGCGGCGACCCTTGACCAACAACAAGTAACTAGCTGCCATATAACTGGTGTCTCAAGTTGTCAACTCAGGATAAGCTTTAACATCCTATCCATGAGTTAATGTATTGGACCTATACCCATCTATTTTGTATTTACATTATAATGTTCACCTTGCAGGCACGTACACTCTATATGCAAATAGGTACACATAACTTTGACGAGTGAACACAAATATGTAAGAAATACGTGAATTTTAAGCATATTAAATTATGTTGTTTTTTATATCACAAGACATCCTTTCATATCTTTAATTGCCACAAAAACACGTGAATTAGCTCCAGAGACCTTTTTTAACTAAAAAAAAATCTCCTTTGAGAGACCACACCTGACTGGAACCATGTCAATACTCGAGACACATGTACTGCTTTGCTTCGGCTTAAATTAAGAGTTGGCTCGTATCAACGACTTGACTGAAATGTTTGCCGATGTCGACTCGAATTGTTCAAACTACTTTTCGTAATTTCGTGTAGGCCTAGTTCGAACAGGATGACAATATTGATTAGAGAGATTATATGTCAACTGCTTTGTTCTTACTGTAAGATAACTTAAAATAAAGCAAATCTAGCTTTTAGTTTCCCTTAAAGAAATAAAAATCCGTTCAACAAAGGTAAAAGAACAAACACATTGGTTATATATACTTTCTAGCTATTTTTTGAAAAAAATATCTGCTTCAGATTCAATCTAAATTCCCACATTTAAAAAGAAATGATGGTCAAGAGAATGATATAGTACTCACATTGCAATACACCCACTGCAGTGTATCTAACAAAATACTTTGTGCAACTTTCCTATAGGTGAGAAGATGACAATATTGGTTACCGCAGGTAAAAACAAAACAAATCAGAAAATAGTTTGAGAGTATTTTGATGTATATATACATTATTAAACCTTAGATGTATATACTGTGTATTGATATGCAAATAAAGCGATATTTTAAGAATGTTTTACCTATTTTCGCAAACTTGTCTGATGTAAACAGCTGGTAATTTCTTGATATAAATATCAAGTTGTAATTTTTATGACATTTCTCTTGAAATTGAGGAAAAGAATACTAAATAGATAGTTGATAACAGAGACATCATTCTGATTTCAAGACTATGTGGAGCATATTGATATCATCATACCAGGCTGTCGGACAATATTTGTTTTGTCTGCAGGTTCTTGACTAAGTATTCAACCAATCTTAAAGAACCTTTATACACATATTACTGATTTCAATTTCTTGAGACAAGTTCAAGTCGTAGGTTCAATGTCAAAGTTACATCTACATGATCTCTGGAAATCGCCTGAAGGTCAATGTCATTTAATTTAAGATTAAGGTCACAACTAGATAATATTTGCATTACGATTTGAAAAACACACCTATAGTTTGTTCACAAGTTTCAACCAAATTCCATGGAACTTCATGAAAGTATATCATTCAGTTTGAAGGTCACAGCTACAAAGTATTAACTTGGGGATGAAACAATTGGTGTGTTCATGCCCTTCTGAACAAATATTCCATCAAATATCATAAAACTTACTCCATGTTGCACCTTACCCTATTATTTAAATATACACATACAACCGTTACTGCCATTATTATGTTTATCGTATAATAACAGTGTTGTATGCAGATTTCTAATTTGCTGATAAGCATTGATATGTGCTTGATAATCATCATGTTTTTAACTAATCAATCTGTATTGGGTTTATTTATTGCAGACTTTCCAACTACCTGTGCTCTTAGCAAAAATTATGATGGCAGCTTCAAGTGCGATACAGACTGTGGTTACCCAACATCCGACCTCACAATTGACTGGTTTCTCAACACAACATCTGTAAGATATTTTAGTTCACTTGTCCTTTAAAAAAGTACTTCACCTTGCTGTGGTCACTCAGGACAAAACATATATTTTAGAAAAAAGTTTCTAAAGGCACCTTTTTTCTTTTAGCAAATACTGATTTGTTTTAGCAATTTTTACGTATTGGTTCGCACGCCCACGTTAGACAATACAGTAGCAGTTTTATATTTAAATTAAGGCGTATTTTACGTGATAGTGAATCCATTACATGAAAATGATTTAAAGAAATGTCATTCTATTTTTAGCATTAGGAAATAAAATATAATGAAACGGGACACCTTTATATAATGGCTTTAATCATTCTGAGGTTTATACTGCATAGTCTCTGACTAAATTAAGGACAGTCAGTCAGTGCATCATATTTAAGTAAAGTCTTTAATTTTGTCCGAGTAAACCAAAATCAATGATCAAATAAAATAATGTATCGATGCACATGATGATATTTTTTAATTTTCGACTAGTAAAACATTAAATAAAAAACTGACTAGTAAAAAATAAAAATAAATCCAAATTATATTTTCAAACACAAGCTTTCGTTCTCCTTGCTTGTGTTCGTTTATTTATCTTCATGTCGTTAGTACAATGAATGACATACATTCTTAAAATTATTTTGCTTGTAGAACTATTCACACAAACACATAGTGTGCGAATGGCTAGCGTGAAGAGGGGATTCAAGGTTGCATAGAAGATGGTTTGGCTCACCTGGAGACATATAGGGGACCTAATAGGGGCAATATATACATTTTTAATATCCTACTCCTTCATGAAAAGACCGATGTTTCAAGGTTGGTAACAGGGACCCGTATATACTCAATATCCTCAAATTTTAACTATATATGCATAGCTAGCCCTGCCGAGGATCTTTGTTGGGACATTTGGTGCCGTTGTGAACAGCAAACTTGTCTTTCACTAATACAGATGGAGTTCAATTCCCTGATCAGACATGAAAAGATGTCCAGCCGTGTGCTTTCTGTATGTACTCTTTCCTTTACACACATATTCCTCACACGCTGTCATTCAGGTCAACAAGAGTGATGAACGTAGGGGTCGGTATAGCTTGTTTTATAATTGATATATATACCAAAAGCAATACTCACCATATCTTATTTAATGCTTACCAACATTTAGTTTTTTAACTTCTAAATGTTCCACACATATCATACAGTGAATTCACATTGCCATCGCTCGAATACCATGTGTTCCTTGAACTATGATTTATCCCGACCACTCAAAACGTTAGTATTTACCTGTCCATTCACCAAACATGTAATAGCACCTGTGCATCACATCTTCAGCGTGCAATCGACATGTCTCGGTCCATGCTCATTGTGTAGATACATGTGTCGACCGGATGTCAGACAATAAGAGGATTAACGGCCTTATCATTAGGTACCTATCCTGCTACCATATTGTAGTTGCGTAAATATTTTGTGTGAATATTTATTATTTCCCGACGATATTTGACATCAATATTTCAGCAGAAGTATGAAGTAACTGGGTGTGTAATGTCATTTTTTGGCATGACAATATTAAGTGGAAATCATGTAGCGGATTCTCCATCATCTTAAAAGATACTCAAATTTGAATCTGAATACGTCATGATTGTTATTTCGTTATTAATCAACATTAAAATAACAGGGAATCATTCTTTTCTTCATTTCATTAAGTTCCTCTTGCTTTGATATTTTTGTATTTGTAAAATTAACATAGCCGAATACAGTATGGCGGAGTATTTCTCAACGATAAGTTCGTTACATATACAGCTTCTTTAATTCTGTTCTGATTACCGATATCTTATTAAAATAAACTTACTTTTTAATACTGTCATCTACTATCCGCGATATTTGCAGTGCTCATCCTATTTGTCATCCCACCTGATCAAAACATAATGAAATTGGACGAACCGCGGATTCGTTGAAAACAAAATAATCCTCGAACAGTTGAAGACCATAAGCCACCATTAGTTGCCAACATTTGTGTTTCCCGTTCCAAATTCACAGCAGCACAGGCACTGCTGATGCTTTGTTGCTAGACCTTTCACCCCTTCAACATATTGATCATGTCTTCAAGGAATTTTGAGAGGTATCACGGTAGTTGATTTTGGTAGCTGTATTGTTACTAAGTCAAACAGTTCTGTATTTTCTGTTGTAAGAGAGTCTGTTCATTTAAATAATCAGATGAAGAGCTAACAAGTTTGTTAACTTATTAACAATATTCAAGGTCACATCCAATAATAACCCTTTAAGTCCAAAATATTCACCAATGTTTCTTGTTGTTGTTGAAAGCTTTACATGTTTTGATTTTCATTGAATGAAATGGTTTGATTGAATTGTGGGATAAGTCAATATCCTTGTTGTTAAAAAGAAATTGTTCCAGTTGCCAACTGTTCATCTTTGGATACAATTGATTGAGATTTAACCTGTGAGCTACTCATCAATCTGGCTGTATAAACATGATAGGAAGAGTCCAACCATATAAGACTACTGCATGCTCCTCTTTATCTCCAATGAACTCAATTTCCTATCATGTTTCATTTCACTTAGTTCCTCTTGCTTTGATATTTTGTAAAATGAACATAGCCGAATACAGTATGGCGGATTATTTAGCATCGAAAAGTTCATAACATATACAGCTTCTTTTAAATTCTTTTCTGATTACCACTATCTTATAAAATTAAACTTACGTTGTTAATTGCTATCATCTACTATCCGCGATATTTGCATTGCTCATTCTATTTGTCATCCCAACTGATAAAAAACATGATGAAATTGAACGAGTCTCGGATTCGTTGAATACAAAATAATCCTCGAACAATTGATAAGGACCCAAATGAGGACGAGTTATTGACTTCACACACACCGAAAAACCCTTGGTGCAGGATACTACGCATCCCCCCTCAATATGGTTGTTAACTTCACCCTGAAATAATAGAAACAGCCATGCTCTGTAGTTCTGAATGATCCTTGTGGCTGAGACAACGATAGTTTCCTTGAAAGGGTCACTGGTCGTTTCACCCAGGTAGAACGTGTTGCATCACTTGCTGGCTTACTCCACCTTCAGTCATGGGTGCTATCTCTGGTGGCATCGTACACGATGATCCCTTTTGACCGGTATCAGACTGTATCGCTAGATCTATCACTAGTTCCTGTCTATTTAAAGTGGTCAGTCTAGCATTTCTGTATTAAAAGTCAATTGCCGATGGATTTGACAGGTTATTAGGCTTCCTTCGTTATCCATACTCATCAATATGCTTGAGATATAAGCAGTGCTGCTGATCATCCAAAGACTCCAGTCGTATTTTCAGGACCAGGAAGTATATGTGGCAACAGACAACTTGATATCTATCTTGTTTCTATATTCAGGTCAAATATTGTCCATGCAGACTGAACGTCTTTTGGATATTTTGTTCAGTGGTTGCCAGTTGTCGCCCCTTCAACATATTGGTCATGTCTTCTAGGAATTTTCGGAGGAACCATGCTAGCTGATTTTGGTAGCTGTATTGTTACCAGGGCAAACCGTTTTGTGTTATCTGGTGTAAAATAGTCTGGCCATTTAAATAATCAGATGAAGAGCTAACAAGTTTGTTCAAATAAATGACCTTCACCAATATTCAAGGTCACATCCAATAATAACCCTGTTAGATATTCATCAATGCATGTTGTTGTTGTTGAATGTTTACATATTTTGATTATCATTGAATGAAACGACTTGATTAATTTGTGGGAGAAGTTATGATCCTGGTTAGTAAAAAGAAATTGTTCCAGTTGCCAACTGTTCAACTTTTGATACAATTGATTGAGATTTAACCCGTGTGTTACTCATCAAACAGGCTGTATTAACATGATTGGTAGATTCTAACCATATAAGACTACTGCATAGTCTGTCTCTCTTATATTTGTGACAGATTCAATTATTTCTACAATCTACCTGTTTGGTACATGTCTGCATATGCAATCCATTTCGCTTGGTCCTCGTTGGACCTCAGTACTTAGTATACGTTATTTTAAGTGAGCAATGATTAACTATTTCATCAATTAATGAATTTTCTTCACATTAGAGGCTGTTGTCGATCTGTCAAACCCATCGATAGCTATAGATACAACATCGACACCAGTGTGTTCCAATGGGGGAAAGGTGTCGGCTACACTTCCTGCATCAAACATCAACGAGGATGGGGATCTTTATTGCAAATGTGGGATGCAAACTGCCTGTCCACAAAAAGCTCTGATTGTCAGCGGCAGTGAATCAGTTACTGGTGAATAGTATAACAGGGGACATAAAATATTAGTTATGTAATCAGTAAACTATGTTATAATAAACCAGCGGACATGCTAACTTTGTACTTTCATCAGTCAATTTTGTTATAATATACCTGAGGACATGACATATTAGTTCTGTAATCAGTAAACTATGTTATAATAAACTAGGCAGCATGCACTTTTAGTTCTGTAATCAGTAGTTATGTTATAATACATCAGAGGACATCAGAAAGTAGGTTCTAACAAGGAAATAACTGAAGATTGATGTCTATAGGAAAATAAAAATAAAAATACTATGACATTAGAAAATGAAGCGGCAGTCACCATCATATATGATTGTTCACGCTTGGAATAGCTATTTATCGTTGAAGTACCCGACAGATCTTTCTCAGTTCATGTGTCGGTTCCTTTTGGTCTTTAGTCTTCACCAGTCAGTCATCTTATTTTGACACTTCAGGTTTGTTAAAATTGTTTTCTAAGAGGTACCTGAAGGTCTTTCTGAAATTTCATATTTAGATAACACTTATCACATACCTTTGCATATTTCATTTTGAGAGTGAACAGAAAAACAAGATGGTCATGAGACAGCCATTTTAGAATTTGAAAGGTCAAGTTTGTTATCATTGTTTAATAAATGCCTGTCATATATTTTTCAAATTTCATATAAAGATTAATTCGGACAATAGCTTTGCATGATTCATTTTGAGAGTGATCAGAAAAACAATATGGCCGCCATGCAGTCATCTTGGATTGTGAAGGTTATATGTGTTATCAATATTTCTGAAAACGTACTTGACAGATCTTGTTTTACATTATGTGTGTAGATTAACCTTGTTTAAATAAGGTCTTCGCCTTCACTGGTTTTGGCTATTTGGTGTTCAATCCAACAGATACGAGAGAAAAAATAAGAGAAGGAACAAGATCAAATTTACGTAGAAATAATAAAGATATTACAATAGCAGACACAGAAATCTCTCTTGGATCTCTTTTTCTTTTTACCCCTAATGTTTTTAAACTGACTTTGCCTAGAGCCCCATTCTTAGGACTTTTTTCTCTTTACACCTGTAGACGGATTTGAAAATGAAAAAAGACAAAAGGATGTGTGTTGCTATTCCCTGCAAGTGCTGCTCTTTATTCGTTCAGCTTGCAATCAATATGTTCAGCATGATGATTGTAAATACGTTTTATTGTATACTAGCAGTATACGTAGGTAGATATATTACTGTTGATACCATTATATCGTTGTTATGTCAGAACATTAGAAATACGTAGATTTACGTACATTTTCAAACATTTTCTAGTTGTTTTCTTTTGCTGACGTTGACTACACTAAAGGTTTCTGATGTCGAATGTGAATTCTCGAGAACTTTTCTCTGAAATCAACTTTTTGCCTGTTTCGTCCTCCTTAGTTAGGGTAAATTGATCATTTCAGCGAACACTTGTAAACAACATAATATACAAAGTAATACAATGCGAAGGGCACATTTAATTTGGGTCCAAAATGAATTTTACTGTCGACGGGCAACAATTTCCCGGTATACAGTTTGTACTTGCATGACTGTGTAAGTCATATCAAACCTGTGACTTTGTATTTGACCTACTGCTCCGTGTCAAATTACTTTTGTTGGATACTGTTGCTGTAATCGGCTTCTAAAAGCTACGTGTGTTACCGTTATGCTACGTTTCTTCAGATTCCACTGGTGACAACGTTAGATATGCTTTCTTTGATTTGCAGGAATCCTGTGAAAACACAGAGAAAAATATTAACCAAAAATAAATAGAGAGTAAAGGCAGACCACTATTGATTAAGGTAGAAATACTAATAGCTTTGCTACCTTTGGCTTACAATGTAGTCAGAAATATAAATTTTGATGTTTATATTTTTTTGAACGATCAATAGTTTGACTGTAGAATTATTTTGAAGATTGAAATTTTTCGATTCACATTCTTTAGTCAGCTTACTGTATATTGTGGCTACATTGTCATGAGGGACATATACGTATATATGCATTCATCATAATATTAAACTGAACTCACTAACAATCAGCACCTGATGGTTTATAACAGTTGTTTGGTTACTGAAAGATGTTGAAACGTAGGGTTACCAATTGTCAATACGATTAGTAGTGGTTGGGTCATGGGATAAATTAGCAGTGCCTTGTGTATGGACACAACCAAGATAAGCAGTGGCAACGTGGCTGGATAACCATAATGTGTGTTGCTTGACAGTTGGATAACTGTAGTAAAGGGCTGGCTTGGTGGTGGTGTAAGCATGTTAACTGTGGCTTGATAGCAGGCTAACCGGATGTGTTGTGTATGGATAGTCAGATAACCTAATTACAGGGGGTAAGATACCTTGATAGATGGTGGTTTGCTAAGCAGGACAATCAGATGAATTGTGTATCTATTCAGGAGACCAATCCCGTAATAAGCTGGATAATAAAATGGGCATCAACTAAATCATTGTCCCAACTCTAGCCTATATGATAATTTCATTGTTTTACATACATTTTCTAGTTTCCCTATATTATTTTCCGTGATTTAAACAAAATAAATTAACAAATAAGTATTGTTGTGATTACATACATTGGGTTGCTGACTAAGCTGTGTAGCGGAATCTGAGATCTACACCTTTTCTATATATTTTTTTACGATTTTTGGGATATATCCTTATATTTAGTAAATTACCTATGTATGTGTATGTGGATAGCTTTTGAGAATGTTTATGACGTGGTCGTCATCATATTACAGCATTTTGATAACCTGGCATAATTCAAAGATTTTTGAACCAGGTAAAAACTTAACAATAGACCGTATAGAGCTTTAATCCTCAAAAAACGTAAGAAGGGATTTCAGACGAGGTTCTTAATAACAGGTCAAAGTTGTAAGGCTTATTTTTGTAAGTGTCTCCATAAACTAAATTTTCCATGATATACTAGTTATGTGTTTTTGTCAATTGCTAAGGACAAAATATATGGGATCAAATGACTTTTAGGATAAACTTTAATTCAATTTTCGGTTTGAATGGTTTTTTTTAAAGTTAATTTGTTAAATAAAGCACTTAGATAATGTTGTGTATATGAAATAATGAAAATATATATCCTACTAATGTATGCTGGGTTTATCTGATTTCTGTTGCTAGGTACCACAACGCAAACATACTAATAAGGTTAATCCCACCAATACAAATGCCACTGATGATGAGATTGGTCAGAGGAAGGGGAGACGACCGATGTCAATGTTAATGAAATAAGTAAATAATACTGATTGATTAATGTACGTAAATACATGTGTATATTTCTGCACACTCAAGGAATCCAAAAGGCTTTTACGGAGTACACTGAAATACTTTCCTTTTTTGTTTTTTGAAATAAGCAGGCATTTATTATGTGAAGAATTAGGTTTCCTTCATGGTAAACTATTCTAAAGTTATTCGAATTCTTCTCGTCCGGAATAAGGAGTAACGTTGATCTAACTGTAACTTTTGGCTAGATGTCATTGCAGTGTTGAAACAATGTATTGATTAATTAATATAGTATTACAATAAAATGTATCTAATAGCATCAAATCCATCTTTTGTTAAGTATTCAACCGAATCATATGTTCGCCAAGATGTGTCAAGATTAATTTCAACATTAAGAAACATTTACTGAAAAATGAATTGATCTTGCAAGCATGTCACTGTTTTCAAAAACGTTGTTTATTTCTGAAATTAAATTAACCAATATGTTGAAAATCTTCTTCTCTAAACTCAGATGTACAACATTCAGTTTTCTACATGGATGGACAGATCATCAGGGGCTTTATCTAAATTTTAAATTTCATTATCCCCTGGCTATCCATTCTCCATTGGGGTTGGCAACGTTTACTAAAGTTTATATAATAACACTTTAGGGGATATTTTGTCCATTTACAGCAAGAAATTAATGCAATCTAGATGGCAATTATATGATATGGGGAAATACAAACCGTTCTTGCCGCAGGGGTTGGAGGGGTGGGTCCCAAAAATGTAAACTATTTAAGAGTTAAAAAAGGGTTCTCCTGCAGACTCAGATGTACTACAATCAAATTATCTTAATGGATGGACAGGTCTTTAGTTCATTAACTAAATTGTAACTTTCATTTTACTTAAGTCATGTGGTTTTTCTTTTGGAGAGGGTAAAGTGTACCCTAGTAAATACATTTTGTTTGTATATTTTGTCTATTGTCAGAAATAAATTAGTCAAACTTGGTAGGAGTCGTTATGATGAAATTGAATTAAAATGGTATCAGAAAGTAAGGTATTGACCTACCCCCGGGCATGGGAAAATATGGAAATTGACTTACTGACAATACATTGTATATTTATCAACACCAAAATGATTTATTTAAATAGTGTTCAACGTTCTGTTCCTTTTGGTGACGTGACGAGTATTGTATTTCACTTTGCTGAAATGCTGATTTCCACCTTACATCAACAATTAAATTAAGCTACCTATAACATTATCTAGGTGACCGTTGCGACCCTTGCGCCTCTCTTGCTATTTTTTCACTGTTTTTTGATAAATTAAGACCCTATAAACATATAACGAAGTTATAGCTGAATCACATGTACATATATCAAACAGCATGTTGTTCACAAAAGTTATGTACCACTTCATCAACATAAAATCCATTGTGATTGCAATTGTTTATTATACTAAGAAATCGCAAGCTTTGCTTCAAGTTTGGCACCTTATCATTACGAAACCTAAATGTTTGGCATGTTACGTTGTCATGATGATTAAGGTGTTTCATTATATTATGATATTTGTAGAGATATTTGAATATTGTATCTGTCTTTTAAATTAATTTAGAATGGTTTCTGGCGCAGTATGTCCGATGTTCTTGATTAGATTCTAGTAGTCTAAGGATGTTAACTGTACAAATATATAAAGTTAAGATAAGGGATGTCGAGGTTCAACTGTCAAGGTCGGTCAGGTTATGTATAATAGCCGATAAAACCATGAAGTCAGACAAGAAGAGGCCAAGGGCCACGTTGTTCTCTCGGGATATTTTTAAAGTGTAAATACTGAATCGAGTTTTCAGGTTCAAAGTCTGTCTCGGCAGGTC